GCGCAGGGGCACGTGCAGGCGCGCACGCACTTGCACACGCACGCCCGCGCGGTCTTGCACAGCAGGCAGGCGGGCACGCAGGCGCACACGCACACGGACACCCATGCACACCCATGCGCACCCATGCACACACACGCACACACACGCACACACATGCACACCCATGCGCACCCATGCGCACACACCCACAGGCACCTGCACATGTGTACACACACAGGCCCACATGCATGCGCACGCACACGCACACACACCCCCACACGCACACACCCCCACATGCACAACACCCCCATGCACACCCATGCACACACACCCACGTGTACACACACACGCCCACACGCATGCACACACACATGCTCACATGCACATGTGCGCCCACACGTGCACACATGTGCACACATGCCCACACACGCCCACGTGCATGTGCACGCATGCCCACATGCACCCCCATGCATGCACACACACACGTGCACACACACCAGCATGCACACACACGCATGCCCAGCTGCACGCACAAGCGGGCACGCACACGCACGTGCAGACACACGCAGAGGCAGGCACACCCCTACACACGCACACCTGGGTGCAACACACGTACACGCACGTGTACGCCCGCCCGCACCCTCTGCAGGGGTCGGCGCCCCCCCCTCCTGGCAGTCGCCTGCCCCCACCCTCTGCTCATGGCCCTCCCGTTGCTGCAACACGTGTGTGTGTGCATGTGCACAGGCCCGGACACACATGTGCACGCTTCCACCTGCTCACAGGGTGCTCTGGGTGAAAAACCAGCAAGTTTTAATGGCCTTTCCAGAAGCCTTCCCCCGCCGCTCAATGAAGGCGACGACTTTTTACCATCCCTGGGGTGTGCAGCAGCACCCAGTGCCCTGGGCCGCCCCTCGCAGCCCCTGTGCCCGTGCGTTCCCGGGGCCGCGTGTCCCAGGCTGCAGGGGCACCCGCTGCGGCACCCAGCCTGGCCTGCTGCTGCCAGAGCCCTACGAGGGCTCCTTGTCCCTTGCGGCCCTCCCGTTCCCATCCTGTGAGGATGAGCTTTGGGGCTTCCCGAGCGCAGGGCCGCCCATAGCGTCCTCCTTCGCAGAGAGGGACGGCTGCTCCGGCTCTCGGGGTGCAGTGGAGCTGTAAGGCAGAGGCATCGGCTCCCAAGGGAATGACGTTTCCCCACCGTCACAGCTCTTCGGGCATCCAGCTGAAATAACAGCCAGGAAATAACAGCCAGGAAATAACGGCAAGGAAATAACAGCCAAGGAAATAACACCCAGGAAATAACGGCAAGGAAATAACAGCCAAGGAAATAACGGCAAGGAAATAGCCAGGAGATAATGGCAAGGGAATAACAGCGAAGAAATAACAGCAAGGAAATAAGGGCAAGGAAGTAACAGCCAAGGAAGTAACAGGCAAGGAAATAACAGGCAAGGAAATGACAACCAGGAAATAACAGCAAGGAAATAACAGCCAAGGAAAGCCTCAGCAGTTCCTCATCAGAGCAAGGGCTGAAAAATAAGTGCGGGCATCGTCGCCGTCCCACTTACTTTAGCTCAGACCTGTTGAAAATCTCCTCCTCCTCCGAGGTCTCTTCATCGTACAGCTCAGCCATGGATTCTTTAAGCTGGGAATCGAGGGGTTGGTACAAGTCTCTCAGCCACTGAGGTTTGGTTTTGCTCAGATCCGATAAGCGCGAGTCCTGGAAGGCACCAGGGAAGGGAAGGTTTCGGAGAGGGTGAGAAACGGCCGACAGTGCAGGTAGTGGGCAGAGGGGCAGACCTGGCACGGGCTCCCAGCCCTTACCTGCTCTTTAACGTCGTACTTGCTCTTGCTCCATCCCCGTGGCAGGAGTTTTTGAAAGAACCTGAACAAAAAAAAGGAAAAGAAGGATAAAAAGTGGAGGCAGTCATTGGCAAGAAGGCTGCCTGCACCCTGCCCAGCCAGGGAAGCAGCTAGTGTAGGATTCAGGCAAGTGGCATTTTACAGCGCTGCAGAACATCTGGATCTAGTGGGTTAAAGGGGGAGAAAAAAGGCTTTTGTGCATCATCACCCTAGAATTGGCCTTGCCCTGTTCACAAGCAGGGAGGCTTGGCCAGGGAGGGCTGCAGCGGGTGCTAGCACCCTGCCAGGGCAGAAGCCTCTACCTGCTCAGGGTGACATTTCAGCTGACCCTAAGGAGGGTGAGGAGCCCCAGGAGGAAGGGATGGTGCTGGCCGAGGTGGCTGGGAATGAGTCCTGGATGTGAAAGGCATCTGGAGAGGACAGGAGTGAGCTCTTCACCCGCCTCTCTGGGGAGCGGGGCAAGGGGGAGATAGGGCAGAGCTGTCACTGGAGAAGAGTTTTGCTGGGAACCAGAGCAGGGAGGTATTTCCTTGTGGTTGGGTGGCATGTTCGCAGGGACGTGGGACCACAGGGGAGGCCAGGGCCAGCACAACCACCACATCCAGGGTACAGCATCACCAGCATGGAAAAAGGCTGCCTGGGTGAGACGTGAGCTTATGGCCATCCTGATCACTCATGTTTTGGGGGCCCTTTTCTTGGTCTCGTAAAAAAGCTCCATTTTGTAAGCATAGACTGGTGAGTCTTGGGCAGAGTTAAAGAGGGTTTGTGGCACAGCAGTGGCATGGTGCAGGGAGTAATTACCAGCTCAGGCGTGATTTACCGGTGCTTTGGGGTTGGGAAGCGGCTGGAGGTTTTTGGGACCAAACCTGGTGAAGGAGAGAGGGAGAGAGAGACTTTAACATCAGGATTTTCTCATCATACTGTGCAAAACAAGGAAGGCCGAAAGGTTCTTCCTCCACCCGAGCCTGTTATGTACATGTGCATGTCTGTGCCAGCAGCCATGTTTTTTAGAAAGAGCCCATCCTTCCTTCTCAGGTCCCCGCTTTTCCCTGCCTCCGGAATGACCTGAACTCCCAGAGCTCTCCTAATCTCAGCAATGTTTATGTCTGCCTTTCTTATCTGCACCGTGTTTTACAGGGTACTCCCCTCCTGTTTAACCCCAGTCTGAAACATGTAGGTAGGCTTTTAAAGAAACAAAACCTCCAAAGGGAGGCTGAAACTCTGTGGGCATGCTGGGTCCTCTCCCTGCCTGTCTCTGGCACTGCCCTGAGCCACGTGGAGCTGTGGCACCTTGCAGGAGGGCTTGATTTTGGCAAGAGGGAAGGGTAGCGGGGGAATCACTACATGGCTGAAAGCAATCAGTGCCGGCAGGAGAGCAGGACAGGGTCAGGAGAAGCGCCTGGGAGGTGACTCTCTGGGGCTAGGGATTGTGGGATAAAACTCGGGGAAGGGTTGAGGGGAGATGCTGTGATGAGAGGGAGCCCCCTTCAAGGCAGCTGTTAGGAAAGCTGGAAAGCAGAGCTGCAGACAGGTGGTGACAGATGCCAGGACAAGCTCCCCCCCAGCAGGCTTGAACTCGTGTGGAGCTGTATGGTGTGAGTGCTGCGACAAGCTCCAAGGTTGGAAAAAACATCTCCTGTGCTACCCAGTGTGTCCACGGGCACCCGCAGCGGCACCCTGGGGCTCATACACTCACTGAGTGGGAAGGCACCACCCTGCCCCTGTGTGCTCCAGCAACAAGGCTTGACTGACAGCTGTCTGTCAAACGAGTTATTGGCTTACCTCGACGAGACAAATCACTGTGAGATTAATCATGATGATGAGAGAGACTGATATTGCTAACAGGAGCCTGTCACTGGAGGTGTACTCTGTTTTCCACTGGGAGAAAATGAGAGAAAATCAGGAGGGGAGAGAGACATGCTCCTTCCATTCCCCGTGGTCCCGAACGACACATCCAGCAATATCCAGCATCTCTCCTACCTTCCCTGTAGATTTCCTGCCTGCCTCCCTGGCCATGCCATTGGACACATTCCCTTCTAGGAGACACTGGCCTGCAAGAACAGAGGCTTCCTGGTCATCTCGCCTCTCGCTGAGCAGCTTTATGAGCAGCCCCGTCTTTGAGACCATCTTTGCACAGGCCAGCTGGAGCTCGGGCAGGCTGCAGTCCATCCTCAGAGCTTGGGCCACGTGGGCGATGAACACCCGCAGGGCTTCGTCTGGGATGAGCAAGCGTAGGTGATGATTGACCTTGGTTTCAAAGAGGTCCCCTTGAACCTGGCTGTCAGAGCTACCTGGTTTGTTGAGGAAACTGGATCCTTCCTTTCGTTGCTTCCAGTGTGTTTCTGCAGTTTGAGAGACAGCTGGTAAATGCCCACCTAAAGAGAAGCCCTCTTCTTCAGCCATGTCCTCTAGCATGCTGCCTGCAGCGGAGGGGTTGTTGTTAACCAACAGGTTATAGAAAAAACGCTGGCTTGGGTTTAGTCTCTGCTCTCCTTTACTTTCTGTTGGTGTGGGCTCTTCCTCTGGATTCACATTGCCAAACGTCTTGTAGAAAAGAGGATTACTTTTATTCAGATAGGGGCTGTCCCCCTGCTTGTGCTTTTTGTAAATCCATACATAGTCCTGCCTTGGAGGTGGTGCTTCCTCTGCATCTTCTACATCCTCCACATCCTCCATCCCAGGAGTTTTTTTGGTCTGTTCCACAGTATCAGAATAATTTTGAATCTTAAAAGACCCAGACAAATGAGGGGCCTCTGTTGGGGAGCGTGAAAGGGAATGTTTCGAAGGAGGTATGGATATTTTGTGAT